CAACAGCAGCAGCAGCAGCAACAGCAGCAGCAGCAGCAGCAGCAGCAGCAACAGCAGCAGCAGCAGCAGCAGCAGCACCGAAGGCTCAGCGGTGTTTTGCTGCAGCTCAGCAGCAGCAAGCCTTCCGAACGCCCAGATGTATTTTTGTCTCTCCGCTTCGTCTTTGAGTTCATTCCACTCCATGTGCGGCAGCAGAAACACCCTCAAACCCTAAACCACAAACCCTAAACCCTAAACCCTAAACCCTAAACCCTAAACCCTAAACCCTAAGCCTTATACAGTAAACAATAAACAACAAACATTAAACTACAACTCTGCGGATCTGAGACTGCCGGGCGATGTTGCGGTGAAAATGCAGCAAATCAAGCACATTAGGGTTTAGGGCTTAGGGTTTAGGGTTTGGGGTTTAGGGTTTTGGGTTTACTTGCAGCTCTAAGAGACGCTTTTGCAAGAGGGTATATGCAGTAAGGCGAGACGAATCCAAGTAGTAGCTGTGAGGCCCTGAACAAAACCCTAAACCCTAAACCCTAAACCCTAAAGGGCCTACACCGCGCGACGTCTCTGCGTTTTTGCATCGCAATTTGAAATTCCAATGCGAGGTGCTAACGGTTTAGGGTTTAGGGTTTAGGGTTTAGGGTTTAGGGTTTAGGGTTTAGGGTTTGCCTGTGCATTTGATTGCAATGTTTTTATTAGGAAGGAAGACATCTGCTGCTACAGGCCCGAAGAAGACAAACGAATTAAAAGAGATGCCGAGACACCGCAGCACCTTCATCACTTCCCCCTTCCAACGCACATGGTAACCCCGCCCCAGCTGCAGCAGCAGCAGCAGCAGCAGCAGCAGCAGCAGCAGCACGGTCAGAGTCAGCAGCAGCAGCAGCAGCGTCAGCAGCAGCAGCAGCAACAACAACAGCAGCAATAGCAGCAGCAGAAGATAAAGGCCCTCAGCAGCAGTCGCATACTCCACACAACAAAAGACAAGCAGCAGCAAAGCCAGCGGCGCATGCAGCAGCAGCAGCAGCAGCAGCAGCAACCGCAGCAACAACAACAGCAGCAGCAGCAGCAGCAGCAACAGCAGCAGCAAATGCCTTCACCTCCTTTGGCGTAGGTTGGGGTAGCTGCTCTAAGAAGGAGACAACCGGAGGAGGAAGCGATGCGTAAAAACCTGCAGCAGCAAACCCTAAACCCTAAACCCTAAACCCTAATTATCGACTAGAGCAAACTGAGAACCTTGGGTACTGCTGTTGCTGTTGCTTTTGCTGCTGCTGCTGTTGCTTCTGCTGCTGCTGCTGCTGTTGCTGCTGTTGCCACTGCTGCTGTGGTGCGTGCTGCTGCAGTTGTTGCTATAATTGGTGTTGCTGGTGTTGCTGCTGCTGCTGCTTCTGTTGCTGCTGCTGCTGTTGCTGCTGCAGTGTATACGTGCCTTTGTAGTGGTGCTGCAGCAGCAGCAGCACCTGCTGCAGTTTGTCTATTTGATGAGAGGTTAGTTGAGGGTTTGCTGCTGCTAGGGTCGTCAGCAGCTTCAGCAGCAACTGCAGCAGCACAGGAGACAGCAGCAAAAGAAAAGACGCGTCTTAGTGTAAGCCTGCTGCTGCTAATGCTGTTGCTGCTGCTTCTGCTGCTTCCGTTTCTACTGTTGTTGCTGTTGCTGCTTCTATTGCTTCTGTTGCTGCTGCTGCTGCTTCAGTTGCTGCTGCTGCTGCTGCTGCTGCTGCTGCTTACTCCTTCTGAGGCCCCAGTGAAGCAAACAGCGGAGTGCAGCAGCAAACAAATCGACTGAATATCAAACGCGCAGTTTGGCTGCGCATACACCGCAAACCCTCCCCACACGCTTTCTTCCTATTTACATATAACCAGCAGCAGCAGCAGCAGCAGCAGCGGCAGCAGAAGTACCTGCAGCAGTAGCAGCAGCAGCAACAACTGCCGCAGCAGCAGCAGCACCTGAGGTCTATCCTCGCAAATGCAGCGAGCAGCAGCACAGCGTGCTGCGGCTCTATCGAAGAAAACAGCAGCGGCAAGCGACGCACAACGCCTCTCCAAAACCTAAAGAAGCAGCAGCAGCAGCAGCAAAGGCAGCAGCAGCAGCAGCAAAGGCAGCAGAGCAGCAAAGGCAGCAGCAGTAGCAGCACATGCAGCAGCAAAGGCAGCTTGAGTATAGAGAATAAGAATAATAATAATACTAATAATAATAATAACAATAAAACTAATAATAATAAAACTAATAATAATAAAAACAATAAAACTAATAATAATAAAACTAATAATAATAATAACAATAAAAATAATAATAATAATAAAATAATAATAATAATAATAAAATAATAATAATAATAATAAAATAATAATAATAATAATAATAATAATAAAATAATAATAATAATAAGCAAAGGTTTTATTAGCGTAATTAATTTAATTAGGAAGGCACCTGATGTGATAAATATAAAAAAAAGACAGACAATTTGCTGCCAACGCAAAATCTTGAGATGTCGCAGACTCCAAATTAAAACAAAACTGCAGCAAACAAACAGCAGCAGCAGCAGCAGCAGCAGCAGCAGCAAATGTGTAGCAGCAGCAGCGAAAATATAAATGCAACAGCAGCAGCAACAGCAGTAACAGCAGCAACCGCATGTGTTCGATTGCCGCTGCTCTCTATTAAAACCCTAAACCCTAAACCCTAATTCTTATGACGCGAAGGAAACAAGCGTGTCTGCTATGATGCACTAGTTCGGGGTTCCAGGCTTAGGGTTTAGGGTTTAGGGTTTAGGGTTTAGGGTTTAGGGTTTAGGGTTTACTTGACTCTTGCGGTTGCATGCAGCGCTGCTGCGATTTGATGCGGCAGCAGCAGCGGAGCCATCAACGCTAATTTTTTTGTTATACCACCCCACAGCTTCTCATTTTTAATATTATTTGCTGCTGCACGTAGAGCAGCAGCAACAGCAGCAGCAGGGCAAAGAGCCTTTAGACCTGCTGCTTCTGCTGCTCCTGCTGCACCTGCTGCTCCTCCTGTTCCTGCTGCTGCAGCTGCTGCTGCTGCTGCTGCTGCGAGTCGACGGCCGCGGCGAGGTGCTTTGGGGTGTTCAAACCTCTTGAATCTGTTTCTTGCTGCTGCTGCTGCTGCTGCTGCTGCTGAGGCCTCTAGAAGCATTTGTTTAGGGTAATATGAATACTGTAAGCGTTCTTCACCAGCAGAAAAAGAAGATAAATCTAAACAACTCATATCCTCGTCAAACCCACTCCTGCTGCTGCTGCTGCTCATGCTGCTGCTGCTGCTGCTCATGCTGCTGCTGCTGCGGGTGCTGCCAATGCTGCTGCTCATGCTGCTGCTGCAGCTGTTGCAGCTGTTGCTGCAGCAGCTGCTGCAGGGTTGGGATAGAATCAGGCGTTGAAAGCCCTGTTCATTTGAGGTGTATGCACACCTCCTCATTTTAGACCCAGCAGCAAAGGGGTGCAGCAAACAGCGGCTGCACGCAACTGATCGTGTTGCTGCTGTTGCTGCTGCTGCTGCTGCCGTTGCAGCTGTTGCTGTTGTTGCTGCTGCTGCTGCCGTTGATGCCGTTGCCGCGTTTATGCATGTGGCTGTTGCTGCTGTTGCTGCTGCTGCTGCTGCTGCTGCAGCTGCTGACGACGGAGTGTTTGTTCGATAGATGGTGCGGAGGCCCCAAGGCCCCAAGCGATGTGAGAGAAAGTGCTGCTGCTGGCAGCAGACCATTTTCCATTATGCTGCTGCTGCTGCTGCTGCTACTGCTGCTGCTACTGTTGCTGCTGCTGCTGCTGCTGTTGCTGCTGCTGCTGGTGCTGTCGATTGTCCTGCAGATGCTGCCGCTGCTGCTGCTGCTGCTGCTGCTGCTGCCCCCCCGTTCCAATGGCGTTA